TTATATTATATAAATATTTTTATATATATAATAATAATAACACATATTATGTGTTTAATGAAATATTGAGAAAGAAGTATAAATTACACGATACATTTGCTGTACTATTTCTTCGTGTGAAGTTATCTTCAGAAAATTAGATATGCGAACAGAATTCAAAAGTTTAGATTACTTTATCATCAATATTATGTATATAACATATAAAAAGAAACATAAATAATGTACGGATTGTACTGTGGTAAAGGAAAAGAATTTATTAATATCTTAATAATTCTTGTCTTTCTTGAAAATACTGGGATACTCGTATACACAGTTGTAACAAAAATATGTAGTTTAACTCTTCGTAAACTCTGCTGATCCGTAGGATGTCACTTTTAATTCTGTAAATAATTAAATAATATTATAGGAAATATCGTAGTACGAAGAACATTGGTTTGACGCTGCTTGCAAGCAAGTTATGTCCCTAACCATTTTTTAGACTGCTTAATTCGAAATAATTGTAACAAATGGATATGATAATTTTCAGGCATCGCAGGATACGCTTCTCGTGGTGATTGAAGCTTGCCCACACGATGGCAAACCCGTGCCATTCTTCGCCCAAGGTCCATCCGCCAAAGTGCTTCGCGAAGCAACGACAATTTCGGACGTTCCAACTGCCATTCGACACATCATTGCCAGCGGCTGTCGGGACCCGAGCTGCAGAAATCGCCGACATGACGTTATTCCACCCCCGATCGTTCCGTTGAAGATCATCCCACGTAGCGTGGCCGTTTTGAGAAGGGCGTCTCGAGACGCTGCTAGAAAATCGGTGAGACAGTCGTTGAAAGATTGATCCTTCATTGGCGAAATTTCTTAATCACGAAATAATGAATACGACAAATACGATAATTCATCTTTCAAACTAGAAGTTTGCCTATTATCCAATGTTAAAACTTAAGTGCAAAGGATCGTATCATTGGAGAAATTTGTTCTTCCAAAAAGGTCGTGAGTGGTTGGTTTGTTAATATATTAGGAAAGATTCAAATCAAAAGATCAGACGTTTGAGAAGTAGGTGATGTAACATCTAGTATAGTGACGAGTAGTGCGATTAACCGTATTGACTGTTGTTCATCATAAATGAACGATAAGGATAGTACATAATAATAAATGAAGGATAGAGACAGAGGTGAAAGTTTGAATCGAATTCACCGGGGGTATGACGACAGTTTCAACCTGTCCAAGAATACTTGATAGAAACCACATACGAGTATAAATAGCGTTCTTCGATAGTGACCTAGACATTGAACCTGAAAAAATAATATTACCTGTGGTAACAGGAATCATCATAGTCACGTCAATATCGTTCATCTTGATCGATCATCACGATGACAAAATATAAGAATTCTTTTGGTATTCAGACATTGATTCTTGCAAAAAAGGAAAAAAATACAGAACTTGAAAAAATGCATTTCTATATAAATATTTAAAATAACTTTGTTGATTTTCAATTTTCAAAGTTAGAGAATTTTTAATTTTAATTTTTAAGAAATTGAAGTATTATTAACGAGCAAAAGTTCTAATAATTCATGTCTAATTTTTGTGATTGTTTCTCTCGTAGAAATTCTCCTAAAAATATTATTATCTACATTATATTTATTGTTATTTTATATTTTGCCATTATATTATTTAATACATTTTTAACATTTTTTTTTAAACATTATGTTAATACGCTTGTGTACGTATATATCATTTCACAAACGAATTTTATTCGAGCAATAATAAATTGAATTACTTTAATCCAATAATTTAATCATTCAATTGTTTAATTAGTAAAATAAATTACTTCGAATTCAATGTACAAAGTTTGGCTCTTCATGTTGTATGGATTAAAATTGAAATTTCAATATATTTCTTAAAAATTATTATAATGTAATGCAAAGATCGTTTTGAATATAAACACTGTTTTTTTTACAAACTCTACATATTTTTTAAGATAAATTATATAAATTTTATATAAATAATAAATTTATATGATTTAATAATAAATTATATATAATTTTTAAAATGACATTCCAAGGATAATTACAAATATTCAATTTCATAGAAAAAAGCAATTTCCTACGAGCATCATTATATTATGTCATTCAGACTTATGTTTTCGACATAATTTAAAATTGATCATGACCTTCCGGGTATAAGATCCGTCAGAAAACGTTTCTAACATACATTCTACAGATACGCATGTACGAATCGACACGTGACAGTGTGTAAAGATATCACTGGATCAGTGAATGACGGTCAATTGCTATCGTTTGATCTTCGATCAAACTACTATGAACGATTGCCTTAATATTTCATCAAGTACTACTGTCTTGTTATTAACAAAAGTCATTGTATTTCTTTATTCCTTTTTTCAAAGAAACTTGTCTTCTTTCTATTACGAATTTTTTTTATCAATTTTTCAATTTTATTAAAGCATTTATTATTGTAACGTGTTGGTTTCATTGAGCATTCCTTTTAATAGCTTTTTCTTCATTTTTTTCATCTGTAATTTTCCCTTCATTCTGAAGTAGTGATGTAACATTATTGTAACATGAGTTTGTATTTGCTTTCAAGGCAGTATCGTCATTCTGAAAAAAATAATTTTTTTTGTAAGGGAAGTGATAATTAATCATAAATAAATTATAAACATAGATATGATAAGTAAATATTAAATATAACAAAAAACAAATAATTCAACGGTATAAATAAAATCGAGGAATTATTTGCCTGCTACGAAAAAATAAATTTCATGATAAAATTGGTATTATTTTATCAAGTTAGCATAAGAAAATAATTTTAATTGCAACATCTTTGTTTTTAATATTCTTCTTGTCTGAATGTCAAATAGAATTCGAGAGTAGAAAAAATATAGAAATCATAAAAATTATATAAAAGAGGGACCGATACCTGTTTGAACATAAACGCACATGCATCTTATGTCATATATCTCGAGGACGAGGTTGACGTCGACAGAGTATAATCATTGATATGACACACGTGATTACAAACAACATGGTTGAGTGAAATAGAGTAACTAAACTTACGAAATAGAATAATTAACAGGCGAATT